ATACATATTCTTGACAGATGCATTTAGGAACCATCAATTAAGCTTGGCATTCATTAGGTGGGGAGAAGCCCAATCAGATTTCACTGACTCAACAAAGCCTCCTATAAATTGTAGACTGTTTGTTCTGACGTTTGATAAATTATTCTTCATAATCCACTGTCTGCTGCGATAAATCTAATCTTTCAGTTTTTGCTGTCTTAATAATTCTTGGAGCAACGCTGTCACATTTTGTTTTCATAGAGGGGATAGAGAGGCTGGGGCAATAGAAAAAAAAAAAAAAACAAACCCTCATCTGCTGTCTGGAAAGTAGCTTACTCTACCCCAGTGTAACATTTTCTCATGCCTAGAACTATGGTTTTGCATTCTGGCAGGGGTCAGTGGCTTTTTGGTGCCATGGACAGTTATGTCTACGTTCTTGAAAAGGTGACCATTCAGCAGATAGGTTCACATCCCTTGGACCTACTTCAGGAAAGGCATCCATACTTCTGAAAGCAGTAGGGTCCCATTATCAGTAAGGAGAATTCCAGAAGTTCTAGGAGCCATAGTTCTTAGAAATGCTGTGTCAGGCATAGAGCTGAATAACTCTTCAGCTACTCTGCCACGAGAAATCAGGAGGATCCTGTGCTATGCTGTGTGAAGATGACAGCTGCAGCCCCCAAAACTTCCCTGGGAAACCTGCTCTGTTCCCATGTGTGGTTCTGTCCTGCAAATCTCATTATCACTGTGCTGCATGCTGTCCCATCTGGGAGGCTGCAGACTGCAGTCTTTGTGTAAATCTCAGAATGTTCCTGCAGTCTGAGCTTGCTCACCTTAGCAAATTGCCATCCACGGAGCTGTGATTTAGAAGGGAGTGTTCAGTACCATAGAAAGGCTATAAAAGCATGGCTGGCATACAATTAAGCTTTACCTGATATGATCTTCCACCTTGGTAATCTGATGGTTGGCTATTTCTTGGGTCAGAGGTTGTATCTTAGTGTTTAGCAACCTGTGCTGGATTTTCTACACTGACTTATCTACCCACCAGGAATTCTGGAATTTGTAACCCCCTGTGGCAATGAGTTCCATGGCTTAATTCAGCAATATGGGGAAAAATACTTTTTTCCTTGTTTTTAATGGTGCTGTCAGCTAATCTTGTGTGTTAATTGACAATTTGCTGCTCCTGAATTTTTCTGCAGAACGAATGAACAGTGCCAATCCCATTCTCTGTGACGTTCCCTCCCTGTTGTCTCTTTCCACACTGAATGATCCTTTGAGGGGGGAAAAAATAAATAAATTGAAGACAGTCTTGAAATGCTTTGGTGAAGAGCTTCCTTTCCCATGGAAATACTGAGCATTTGGAAGCCTCCTGAGTCACTCACCTGTACCATACTGGTTTGGCTCTGGCAGAGCTTTTGAAAGTTTTTCTATAAATAGATGTGGAAAACCAGAATTCTCAGTGCTGGGTCAGGAGGGAGTTCCATCACTTAGATCCTGCTCAAGGGGGTAGCTTGTTGGCAGCCCTTCTGGAGAGTGAGGTATACCTCAGCACTGAATGGGCAGGTTGGAGCCAGGCAGCAGTATTTGATCATTTACTGCAGCACACAGATATAAAAAGGTTGGGATTAAGAAGCAATGTATTTCAAAAGAAATTAGCTAGCAAGACATGCACATTTAATGTTTATGGTTTGAAGATTAAGACAGTGGGCTGTAACTCAGGATATCTGGTTTAAAACCCAGCTCTGCCAAAGACTGCACAGAACATGCTGGGCAGGTCATGTAAGGCAATGCTTTCAGAAAAGACTTAGGATTTAGCATCTTAAATCCAATTGACTTCCAGTAACTTCCTAAGTGTTTAAGGACAAGATTCACAAAAAAACACTGAGGCATTCTGGTGCTCAACATTGCAGCATCAGCTGATGTGTGCCATGGAACTCAGGCAGAGCAATGTGTGCTTTGGGAAGGTGCTTCAGTGCATGAGGAGGATTGTGGGCAACAACCTGGGACAACTGGAATGTGAGAGCTTGTGCAGGGCTTGCATGGTTCTGCACTTTGTACTCTGGGCTTAACAGAGTTTAGGTGCAACCTCAGCACAAATGCATGCTAAGAAGTGTCTGAGTAGATGGATCCTGCAAGAGCTTTTATATCAGCTCCCTAAGGTGTGAATACTAATACCAACAATCATGAAAAGATTTTGCATATTTTAAACAAGCTTCATTCTTTAGAATTAAGCAGCTAGGGCTGTGTTTCCGACCAGTGAAGTACAATGACATATTCATTTGCTGGTTGAGCACGTGCCCAGTGTGGAGTGGGATGTACAGAAAGCTAATGAGGGAAACCACTGTGTGCAGGGATGCTGCCCACCTCTGCAGCTGTAAACCTGCAGCTGGCTGTCATGCTCATTTGGAAGAGCACTGGTAAAGTTTCTTTTCTCTCTTTTAAACCTTTATTAAACCTGTCTGGAAATTATGCTTGTTTAATCTCCTGCTAGGTTTGCAGATGGTTACAACCAGTTTGATAAAGCTCTTTGAGATGAGCTGTGGCCTGGAAGAAAAATTCTTTGAGTACCACGTCAGGTGAGCTCTAAAACTGCCCCAGACCTTTGCTTGCGAATTAGCCACCATGGAAATGGTGGGCAGAGTTTTTCTTAATGGTCACTGGGTACTCGTGAGCAGTAAGAGCATACAGCCTGCTCTTGGAACTAGGTGCAGCCATTCATTTGGGAAGGACCTCTGTGACAGCCACTGTAGGAGCCTGGCTCCCCCCTTTTCTGCCTCTATAGCATGCAGCCTCACACTCACTTTTGCCTCTCTGGGACATGCGGCCTGCTTCAGAGGCACTAGTTGCCTCCAGCACACTGCAAAAGGACAATTTCATAATGAATGAGGGCAATTTGCTAAGTGGGGTCCTGGAGCCCTGCCGTAATTGTGCTGCTGCTTTATCTCAGCCTCACACCTGCTCATGTAATGGTCTGGCTGTGATCTGCTCCCTCCCTCATGTGCATGCGTTCCCCTTCTGCTCCTATAGGAGCCATCAATTCTCTGACCCCATTGTGGTTCCTCCCCTTGATGCCTTGGCATGGAGCCTGTGGGCGTGCACAGATTTCCTCTTGAACTGCAGCAGGGCCACTGGGCTGGCTCCAGTGGGCAGGAATGCTAACCTGGCTTTCTTGTCCTTAATAAAAAGATTTTAAATGAAATCCTTCTGCCCGAAAGAATTTCTTGAGACAGCTTTCTTCAAATGATATTTCCTTGGAAAACTTGGTCACACAAGAATATTGTATATATTCCTACCAGGAGGAGTATGTGCAGCTTTTTTTTCCCTCTGCATGTATTCAGTAGTGGTGAAAATGATTGGATTGACAGTATACGCAATTAAAAGTTTTTGAGATCCAGAGCAGCTGGAATTTTATGCAGTTTATATCCAGTTGTGCTAAAAATGTACCTTAAAATGGATTCAGGCCAGTGAACTCCCAGTTCTGTGCTTTAACCTCTAGAGGATGTTACTGTCTTTGTGATAGGTGGACTGGTAATCTGGTCTGGGATCCTGTAAAGGGTATTTTCCTTTAATGTGAGGATGTAGAGTAGTGGAAGAGGTGAAGAAAGCCCCAGCTTGACCTCAGGTAGCAAATTCTCTGTTGGTGATTTTTCTTTCCTTAAGAATATTGTAGTATCCAAGGTGTTCTTCCTGGCACCTTAAGTCTCCTCTTAACGGGTTCCCTCTTCTTCTGATAGACTAACTTCACACAAAGGTAGAAATCTGTGTCTCAACACATCCCTTGAGCCATCTGTCATCCTGTAGGTGTTTCTTTCTTTATACTAATCTGAAATGAGAATCTCAAAATCCAGTGAAGTGAGAGAGAAAAAGGGAGGAGGAAGAGAGGAAAACGTTTTCTCTCACGAGACAGGAATGTCAATAGGTTTGAATTATGGACCTGCTGTAATTAAAAAACACATAACTAGTTGTTTTTAAATGCAGTTGTTTTACTTAATTGATTTTGCCGCCAGGACCAAACAGAATTAAATAAATAAATAGAAGACACCTTCCTCGTGAATTGCTGGAGGCAGCTGAGCCACTGTTGGAATCTAATTGCTGCAAACACTCCAGTTTGTTGCTACCAATAGATTTCTGTGGAAGGGGCTGGAAGAAAAGGGGGTAGGGTGGTGTAGGAGGGGGCTCGTTCCCTGGCAGCTGCAGAAGGGAACAAGCTGCTCCTTGTATAGTATTTTTTTCTCCTTGTCAGCAAAAAGAATATTCGTTTAACACTTTGCATGAAGACTTTCTAAGCAAAGTCTTTATTCATACTTAATTACTAGCTCACTGCAGCTTCCATCTTTAATTACCTTTTAAAAAGCAGGTTATAAAAATGCACTGACGTTCTTTCTGTCTTTTTTTTTTACTGCATAAATTACAGGTTTCTCAACTGTTCACTCGACATCAGTCCAGCCCAGGGAAAGGGTGGGAAGTGTTCCCTTTGCTCTTATGGATACCTTAAAGCTTTTGTGTATACCTTGTTCTGCAGAGCAGGACAAAAATTCTTGATCAGCACTACACAAGCTAGCACAAACATAACCATGTTGGCATCCCTTCTTAGGGGTGCTTCTTAGGGGTGCAGAGGAGCCTGCCTAGTTTTCCAGGATGATATCATGCTACTGTGCTAATAGTGGCCACAGCACCCCTTAATAGCCAAGGATTCTGACCATAATTTCTCCAAATTGTTTTCAATACAGCCTGCAGTGGTCTCTCACATGGTGCCTTGGCCATTCCATGTCCTAGATGAAATGTGCCGCTGGCTTTCTGACATAGGTTTCCATGAACAGACCACTTCTAAGAACACTTCCTTGCTTGGCAGGCTTCATTGGGAGGCCAAGCAATGACAAGGGTAGGCAGGGGACATAAATAGGAATGATGAAAGAACTGAGACTGCAGATTTGGTGCATACTGCCTCTGACCAGTGGTCAAGGCTTTCTTTATGGGTACTTTCTGGCGCCCCAAGCTGATGCCTCTTTCCTTTTTCCTGACAGATAAAAGAACTCTTTGTGAGTTTTGAGGACACACCTTTGGGAGCAGCGTCACTTGCCCAGGTGCACAAGGCAGTGCTGCAGGATGGGAGAACGGTGGCAGTAAAAATCCAGCACCCAAAGGTCCAAGCTCAGAGTTCCAAGGATATTTTCCTCATGGAGGTAAAACTGCCTGGTGATTTTGACTTACTGAGCAGTTGTCATGCAAATGTGAGGGGTCCAAATTCAACCGAGATGTGAGCAGATATAACATCGATCAGTTCCGTAGCTTTGGAACTTCCACAGACATAAATGCTGTCATATGGGCATAATACAGGAAGTTGGTGATGATTGCTGTGAGGATGGTTGTGTGAACAGAAAGACTGAACAAGAGGGTCAGAGTGAAAAAGGGGAGAGAAGGACAGACAGGTAAAGCATGATTCACAACTGAGCAAGTCCTTATGAGAGTTGAAGATAAGAGTAAACCTGGAAGTCTCTCTAATGTCTGTGTGCCCATTACCTGGTAGATTATACTGGTTGCATTTCCCCTTGAATTCTGGTCTGTGTAACCAAAGAGTAATCATTCACTATTGTTAGCGTGTTTTTCTGGTTAAGGCTGCTGTGATTCAGTTCTATTTCTTGATTGGCTCCTTAATGCTGACCTGATTCATGGTGGAAATAAAAATATTGAAATATGGAGACTGTAATGTAACAGGAGCAGACACACAAAGGAGGGGTTCAGCTAGGAAAAAGTTTCTCTCCTGAATGGTAGGCAACGCTCTTGCTCCCAGTGCAGTGCTGTGGCTTCTCTCAATCTCCTGAAGTCTAGTCCACTGAAGAGAGAAACTGGAGAAAAGCTGTGGCACTGTGCTTGCGTTGTAATAATCAAAGATGCCAGTGGTATGATACAGAAATGCAAGTGGGGCTCAGATGGAGGAGAGGTGAAAGATTAGATCTGTAAGTGGTAGTATGAATGCTTTTAGCTCTCCAATAAGTACATATCTGTACATATAGCAGAAATCTACATCTATTGGTAGACATTATGTCCTTGGGACTAAAGAGGAGAAGTTGAAGCTTGGGAAGCCTAGCTGACAAAAGTTTTGAGGATACTGCTGATTCAGTGACACACTTCTCCATCACAATAGATCAGGAAACAAAGATCCAGCACCCTTTCAGAGGGGAGTGTATAACTAAAACTTTTTGGACAAATAAAACACTGTGCTCTGAGCAATCTTGAGTAGTCTGCAAAGCAACACAGCTGGTTCCAGCTAGAGCACATCAAATTTGTAGCATCATTTATTTTGAATTAGTAGTAGTATAAATTTTGGAGTTCAATAAATATATTCTGTTAATATGGAATATGTTTGATTCTATACTTGTTTGAGAACAGAGAACAGTTTGAACTGGCTTCGATGCCTGTTGTAGTTTTGGATTTGATCCAGATTTTCTTCAGGACTGACTGCAGTGCTCTGCTCCACGAATGTGCTTTTGTGAGTTGTCATATGCACAGCAGTTCTCAGTGTATGACATCCTTCGTTCCTGCTCAGGACAGCATAGCTAAAACTGAGCAGTCAAGACTGAACAAGATAAAGAAAGACTGTGAGATCAGCGCAGTAAGAGGATTGTGTATGAATGAGCCAAGACCCAGATTCACCTTGAGACATTTGTGCTGTTAACAGTGGATGCCACAGAAAAAAAAATCCCCCCTCACTTTATGAGACTGTGATTGGTAATTATGCTGTTAAGAGAGATTCAGACAAATAATTTAATGATTTCTTTCTTTTCTGTTTTTGGACTAATCTTCCTTGGATACGTAAAACTAAAACTGTACATCCTTTTGTCAGTTTGGTATTGTCTTTTTCAATCAGACAGACAATCTAGTTTGTCATACTGGAGCTCCATTGCGTACAAGCATTTTTGGGAAAATAGCTCGCAAGATGATGCATTCAGTCTTTTTTTAATGGTTCTTCACTGGAGTGTTGGTTTACATATGCATCGTCGTATCCTTGCGTGGAACTGTGTTTGACAAGGCTGCATTTAAAGCTAGATTATATCCACTGAGGTTCTGGTCCTTTAAGAATCAGACAGCCACTGCAGTTAGATAGGAGATCAATTTAAATGTTGTTGGAGATGGTCTTCTTTAGAGACTGATGGGGAAAAATCTGAATATAGATGGAAAATTCCTGAATTCACTTGTGGTTTCATAACATCATTTTCTGACTCTTTAAAAATCAGGACACCATCTGATAAATCCAGGGAGAGATCCCTCTGCTCTTATGTCAATACTTATTTCAGGACAATACGTTAGACAGATGTCAGAAAAGTGACAAGCCAAATATTTTTAAAGTATGTCACTGCTGATGGTCAAGTTGGCAAATTGGTTCTAAAGAGCATTCAAAGGAAGCAAAAACAATGTCTGAATTTTCTCACATCAAGCATCAATAGCTCCTATAAAGTTTATGTACATGTTCATGAAGATTGTTGGTTACATTTCATTTGGATGACATAAATTTGGAAGGATTTATGGGTTTAGATATAACAGTAGAAAAATCATTCAGTAGTGTCTGGAACCTGGTGATTACATTTTAAAGGAACATTGAGTTTGGAACTGACATTTAGATAAGAGAAGTAGAGAGAGAGGTGGAGAATAAATGTTTTCACATAGCTGAACAGTAGCGGTGATGGTTCATAAATTTATTTTTTGTCGTACATTCCAATGATAACAGCTTTCTGTGCTTGTTTTAATGTTCCTCCTGCAATACAGGAATCCCCACCTTGTTGGTGGAGATCTAGGAAAGAAAACTGTCCAGGAACACAATGGCATGTTTGTTTTAATTTTCAAATGGACATACAGAACAAGTAAGATAAAGTTTCTGAATTAAGTTTTATTTTTATGACTCAGTAGTTAAAAAAAAAAATAAATTATTTTCCTTAATGTGTGGTCCAAATTGTCAGCTTTTATATATTTGTGACACTGGCTGAGAAACTGGCCCTTCATCTGAATAGAAAGCATTCTTGGCTGCTGTGCAGCTTTGATTTTGCCATCCAGACACACAATCTTGATTTGCTTCAGGAAGGACTGCCTTTCACTGGCTCCTTCAGTACATGTTTCTCTAAACAAACATTTCCAGAATCGTTTCAGTAGATCTTTTCAAAGCCGTGTGAAGCTGCCTAGTTCCCTTAAGAAGAGGATGCTACCTCAGAGTTGCTGTCACTGACTCTGAGAGGCAACTTGCTCCTCACCAAAAGTGTCGTTTGAAGAGTTGCTGACTCCCTGTATCTGAATTTCACTGTTTTCTCTGAATTGCCTGATGGATTTTTGAATTAGTAAAATTTTTCTTTGGTAGTGGAAGTAGTAACACAGAGGTGATAAATCTTATTTTAAATCTGAGAACTATTCCAATGAAGCCGAACAATGACTTATAGAATTAAAAGAGTTAAAGACTCAGCTGAAAGTAATTGCTGGGCTATTCTCTTGGAAAGGTCTGGTCTTGTCCTCTCTTCTCCAGGGCTTTGATCACTCAGTTCTAGGCAGCAGGCAGATGGGTTCTGGCTGCTACTCTCTTGTGTCTGCTCTATTATTTTGCTCCTGGATGTGCCTGTGTGGAAGGGCAAGCCAAAATTTGTGTTGCAGAATCAAGGCATGAAGCCATACACTGTATTATAATACTGCAGAAACCCTACAAGTACTTAAGGTGAATTTTTTAATTTTTGTATGTGTAAGTTACGTGGAATAATCCTGTGAAAACAGCATCTGCTTTGTGTAGCAGCCAGCGCAGCACTGTGGTAGCTGTGTGGCTTTGGAGCTGGAGTGTGGCTGACTGTCTGTTTCATTGTTCTCAGGTTCTTCTCTTGATTGTGAAGCAGATCTTTCCAGATTTTGAGTTCATGTGGCTGGTGGAAGAAGCAAAAAAGAATCTGCCTTTGGAATTGGATTTCCTCAATGAGGGCAGAAATGCTGAAAAGGTTGCTCAGATGCTCAAGAACTTTGACTTCCTGAAGGTGAGGGAATACATGTTCCTGTGTGTGTATGTGCATTAGTAGTCTCACTTTGCATCTCTCATGCACCTCATTTGTCACCTGGAAGAACTATATGGAGGGAGAGTGGTGTTCAGTCCTTTCGTGTTGTTCTTAGATTGCTCTGCTGATACTGACCACAAAAGTAGAATGAGGCTGAGGATGTCAAGAAGGGTTGGGTGTACTGTGTGTATATTTCAGGAAGAAACATGTTTGCATGTATCTTTTCTCCTTCAAAACAGTATATTCTTTCTCTGAAGTAAGCATATATTGTCCTTACACATCCATGGCTAATGCACTCATGTTACCTTCATACACAAACACAGCTGCACCCATACTGTGTTTCTCCTCACTGACGCACATACGCCACCTCTCCTGCCACACACTGACAGAGGTCACTGACAGATGTTTCAGGTACAACCAGATATGCAATCATCCCCCTCTCTGCAGACGTGCTCACGTCTTCATACTTGCACATCAGCATCTTTTGCTGACGTATGTGAGGCACAGGCTTCTGCTGTGTGCATTCTGGAAATACCCAGCTATGCTCAAGCGCTTGTAGTCCTGTGGCCACAGTCACTGACATAACTGCATTTGCTCATACCCAGTGACAGCAAAAAAATACCTATTCCTTTGGACCCTCCTGCATACAGATATCAACACGAGGTTTTGATCTCCTGTTTATGCAGAAGTCCCAAGATAGAAGTGATAGATGTCTGAAGTGAATTGAGTTTTTGTTAGGCTTTACAGGCCTACGTGTCCATTTTCTCCTTGCTTCCTCCATGCAAAGGCTACAATTCCTTGTCACCAGGTTTGGGGCAGGCCTTTTGAAGCTCAGTGGCAGCAACTGGCCTTTTTGTAAACACAGATAGCTAAAAGCCACTGGGGTTACAGAAGGCTGAAGGCCAATGGTTTTGCTGGGTGGGCACTTATCAGAAGGGATGTACCTTGGTGAGCTGTCTCCGTTGCAGCTGTAACTAGGAGACTGTGAAGTAAATCCCCATGGAGACGGCCAATCACTTTCTTGCTGGGTTAAGGAGCTATCATGATATCAACATGTGTAACAATAACAAATGGTTTGAGATGACTAAATAATGGATCCTCCCGTCTGACCTGCCAATTCAGAGATGTGTTCATCACCCAAAGGCAACAGAAGAATTGGGCTCTTTTATCATTAATTTTCTTAAACACGCAAGAAAGCCAAGAAGTGGATTTTGTGCTGTGAACCTGGTTGAGCTTTTAAAGCCAGAGATAAATTGTTTCCATGCACTAGCATTACACCCAAGCATCTGTGAGTAATTAAAAAAGATACCAAAGAATTCATCTGTGAGTGAGAGAGGTATTTCCAAGAACTTAGATGGTTCTTTGTAAGCCCTTTGACTTGCCCCTGTAAATCTTGAGATAAGAATAAGTGTCATATGAAATGATCTAAGGCAGTGAGGATCTGTGTGTCTAGGAGGCAGACCACAGTAGCTAGAGGGACTCTTGGGGACTTGTTTTGGAGTTTGCTTTCTCATGAATATAATTCTGTGAAGAGTGGACATCTGGATAAGCTGGGAAGCTTGCTGTATGGGACTTATGTGGCAGGATTTTGGTATGAGGAGAGCTGGAGGGGTAGCCTTTGTGAGTAGAGCCCAGCAACTGCCCCATGTCAGGTAAAAGGGAACAACTGCTGCACCACAGCAGTTGGGGGGGAGAGAAGTGAGAAACAGATAAGCAGCCCTTGCAGCCACTAAGGTCAGTGAAGAAGGAGGGAAGGATGTGCTCCAGACACAGCAGAATTTCCCCTGCAGCAAGTGGGAAGGAGCTCCTGAATAGAGCAGGTGAATGTGGTCTGACAGAGGTTGACTGTAATCCTCATTCCCTGTTTTCTGGTACCACTAGGGAGAAGGAGAAAGAAGAGGATGGATGGTGATGGAAGGTGTTTTTGTGGAATCATAGAATCACAAAAGTGTTTGAGTAAGAAAGGACCTTAAAGATAATCTAGTTCCAGCCCCCCTGCCACTGTCAGAGACACTGTCCAGTAGATCAGGTTTCTTCAAGTCTCATCCAACCCAACCTTGAACACTTGCAGGGATGGAACTTCGATAACTTTTTTGGGCAACCTGTTCTGGAGTCTCAGCACCCTCTTAGTGAAGTATTTCTTCCTCATATCTAATTTAAACCTACCTTCTTTTAGTTTAAAGCAATTGGCCTGTTTACCATAGCTACATTTCCTGATTAAGTGCCCCTCTCCAGCTTTCTTGTAGGTCTCCTTTTAGGTACTGAAAGGTGGCAATGGGTTCTCTCTGGAGCCTTTTCTTCTTCAGGCTGAACAATGTCAACGCTCAGCCTTTTCTTCATTGGAGAGATGCTCCAGCTCTCTTGTGCCTGTCCTTCAGCTCTTTGTGGCCTTTCTCTAGACCCACTCCATGTCCTTCTTACATTGTGGGTTCCAGAGCTGAAGACCATACTCTAGATGGGGTCTCATGAAACTATTTTGCTTTTAGTTTCTCACTGTTCTAGTCTCAGAATCACAGAATGGCTTAAGTTGGAGGGTGTTTTAAAGATTATCTAGATTCGATTCCCTTGCCATGGGCAGGGTTGTCAGCCACTAGACCAGGCTGCCCAGTATCCCATCCAGCCTGGCCTTGAATGCTTCCAGGGATGACGCATCCACCACCTCTGTGAGCAGCCTGTTCCAGCACATCACCACTCTCCAAGTAAAGGATTTATTTCTGACATCTAACCTCAATATCCCCTCTTTAATTTTAAAGCTATTCCCCCTTGTCCTATTTCTATTTACTCATGTAAAAAGTTGATTTCCCTCCTATTTGTAATCACCCTTTAAATACTGGAAGACTGCTGTGAAGACTCCCCCAGAGTCTTCCCTAAGCTAAGCATGCCCAACTCCCTCAATCTTCATTCACAGGAGTGGTGTTCTAGTCCCTTGATCATCTTCATGGATCTCCTCTGGACCCGCTTCAACAGCTGCATCCTTCTTGTGCTGGGGTTCCCAGGGTTGGACATAGTACACCAGATGGGGCCTTACAGGTGCAGAGCACAGGGAATAATCATCTCCTCCTTCCTTCTCGTCACTGCTCTTTTCACAGAATCATAGAATAGTTTGGGTTGGAAGGGGCCTTTAAGATCATCTATTTCCAACCCCCTTATTATAGGCAAGGACACTTCCTTCTAGACGATGTTGTTCAAAGCCCTATCCAGCCTGGCCTTGAATGCTTCCAGAGGGGGGTTATCCAGAACCTCACTGGGCAGCTGACAGTGTTTTGATGGACCCCAGGATACCATTGGCCTTCTAGGCCACAAGACAGCCCATATCCAGCTTTCTGTCCATAAGGACCCCCAAATCCTACTCCGCAGAGAAGGAGTTCTTCCCCCGATCTGTACTCATATCTGAGATTGCCTTGAGAGAAATGCAGCATGTTGCACATGGCCTTGTTAAACCTGATTAGATTCTGTCATGGTTTTATGATTGTTGTTATTGGTATACCACGTCATGACATCATGCAGTGCACTGGGAGTTAAAGAGTTAATGTTCCAGTTCCATGGATTCTTGATATTTCTGGGTACCTAGTCCTCAGAAGAGAAAAAGAACTACATCTCCCAGAAGACTTCAACTATTCTGTTTCCATTTTCTGTTAGTAGGAAAGATAAAATGTTTGCAGGTCACAAGATGTGCCCTTCTTTCACTGCTCGTCTCTGCACCTGTGCTCCCTGGCCATTTTGTCTTCAGCATTAGAGTAAGGCCTTTGGTTTTGGATGCTCTCTTGCTCATTTTATTGGATTTCTTAGCCTTAATTCTAATTATATTGTATTATATTCTGTTATCTTGCATTCCAATATTATATTTAGTAAATTAACTTTCCTCCTCAGATCATTGCTACTGTTGCGTTGTTAGACCCTTCTCCCTACCCGTTTTTCCCCTTTTCCCTTTCCCCCTTTCCTAGGGCTTGGATCCATGGACCCCATTAGACTGGGCTGAACCAGCCTGTAAACTGTGTGCATATTCTCATGTGCCCAGTTTCTGAGCATGTCCTGCTCCCTCTGGTTGGTGTCCCTCTGTTCTATTGTGTCAACTGCACCATTCAGCTTGGGTCATCAACAGCTGTGCTGGGGGTATGCTCAGTCCCACTGTCTGTGTTATTGATAAAGATGTTGGAGAGCACCAGCAGATACCACCTGTGTCTGGTCTCTACCTGGATATAGAGCTGTTGACAGTAGAGAGCAATGTGGTGGAGCATAGCTGTACATTCATGTGAAACCACCACAAGTACAGGTAACTGAATTCCTGTTGAACTAATCCCTTAGCATATGTGAGGTTAACGTGCAAAATATCCCAGGAGTGTTGAACAACAAGATTGAGAGCTATTGGAATTGCTCAGCAAAGGACTCTTTGGTCTGGTCTCATGTATGTGGTAAGGTAGAATCAGCTCATTGGATAAATGAACTCTCTAGAATAGGAACAGTGCAGGAGGCAGGTCGTTTGTGGAACTATGAGGGACTGAGCCATTGTCAGTAGTTACAAGCAGAGTATAAAACAACTGTTTGTTCAAGAGTTCTGATAAGCTAAAAAGCTTGGCTGGTTACTTTGGCTTAGATTGAATTAGATGATGAATTCCTTATTTTTTCCTGCCCTACCCCAGTGTGCTGGACACTCGAAGTGTGTGAATCTAAGTCCACATCTAAGTTGTGGGTAAGGATAGGGAGCTGCATGGCTGTTTTTCTCTTGCAGAATCCAAAATATGTATCTGTTTTAACTGTATCCTAGGCTGCATTGATAGATGCATGGGCAGCAGGTCAAGGCAGGTGATCCTGCCTCTACTCTGCGCTGGTGAGACCTCACCTGGAGTACTGCATCCAGATGTGGTCCTCAGTACAAGAGAGATATGGACCTGCTAAAGCATATCCAGTGGAGAGCTACAAAAATGACTTGGGATGAAACACCTCCTCTACAAGGACATGCTGAGAGAGCTGGGACTGTTCAGCATGGAAAAGAAAAGGCTCCGGGGAGACCTGAGAGCAGCCTTTCAGTATTAAAGGGAGGCTTTTAAGGGGACAGGCTCTTCAGCAGGGTTTGTTGTGACAGGACAAGTGGAAATGATTTCAATCTAAAAGTGGTTATATAAGGAAAATATTTTTTATGCTAAGGGTAGTGATGCACTGGAACAAGTTGCCCAGAGAGGTGGTGGATGCCCCATCCCTGGAGGTGTTCAGGTCAGGCTGAACAGGTCTCTGAACAGCCTGATCAAGCTGTAGGTGTCCCTGTTCATTGCAGAGGAGTTGGACTAGATGACTTTTAAAGGCCCCTTTCGACTCAAACAAATCTATGATTCTGTGAACTGGGGCACAGTGGTGGGAATCCTTGGTAGAATGTACCCCTCCAATTTCTCCTATGTGCGAAGATAAATATGGACAGCTTGAGACACTGAAGTGCGACAATGTGAGGAGTATCCAAAGGGAACTTCAGTAATATCAGTCTTTTGACAGTGGAAGCTTCAGCATAGAAAGAATTTATCATAGAGACTGGAAATGGGGGAGCCTGCCTGAACTAAGACTTCTGTTATACTGCGTCGCTGCATCCCTGTGTGACACAGCACCTCCTCCTTAGACCTCACTCAGCTTGATTTACTGCAGATTGAATGAAAAGTGCTTTGACATTTTACACTCGTTACTGTGTCACGTTACATAGCCATAAGATAGTTTAGGGTATCCCAGGGTTTCTATGACAAGCCCTTTATTAGTGACACTTGATTTTTCTCCCAGTTTGATTGCAGATGGCCTAAGTACATGGGTTTTGTCAGCTCAAATGCATTTGTGTTCCAAGGAGCACTGCTGAGATGCAATTTATGATGATGTCTTATCATTTCTAGAACTGTGTAAGTGGGCCCTGTGTGTAGCAAAGGAGATCTGGTTCCTGTCTAAAGGTGCCTAGTGAATGATTCAGGAACTTGTAGTTGGTACTGAGCTAGCCAGTTGTAGGAGCTGTGAAGCAGATAAGGAAGAAATATCAGACAGTAGTGGGAGTGGGAAGAGGTCAAAATCTTGTAGAGTGGTGCCTGAAATATTCCACAAGCACTGACTCTTCTATTGTTGTATCGGTGTGTTGTTTTGCAGCTGTCCTGGGGAAGAGACCTGCAGTGCCACTAGATGGATTTACCTCTGTTGTGCTTAGGGAAAAAAGAAGTCCTTATTTCAACCTCTTGCTTTTTTGTTCCTTTTCCGAACTGTATGTGATATGTTCTCCTTCCTTTCCTCAGCCTGTTGTTTGACCAAAGCCATCTATTCCCTTTTCAGGTCCCCAGAATCTATTGGGAGCTCTCAACAAGGCGTGTTCTTCTCATGGAGTTCATGGAAGGGGGACAGGTGAACGACAAGGCATACATGGAGAAGAATGGCATTGATGTCAATGAGGTATTTTCTCAGCCACCTCTGAAAGGGGCATGTGAGCAATGTTAGACCAAAGCTGATAGGACAGGAAGGGCAGAAAATGGAGCATGTGCAGGTATGAAGAGAGTAATCAATCTGAAAGATCTGCTTTTGGGAATGTATACAATCCTTTTTGGGAACACTATTCTGTAGGATTGTACAGCTAGAGAGATCTTCAGAGTGATAACCATGCTTTTACACTGTGTACACCAATGTTTTGTTCCAACGTGACAGTTCGTGTTGTCCTAATACGACAGCTTCAGCTTCTGATCTTTTTGTCTCTTTTCTTCCTCTATCTTTCTTCGGCATTAACTTTCTCTTGGGCAAATGCATGGGATGTAGCTTTTGTAACCCATCAGGAGGCACAAATTATAGGCCTTGTATGATCAAAGTTACTGGAGTGGCTTGACCCATGGTGTTTTGCATAATATTCTTGGGTTGTTCAGTTCTGATTTCCAAAATCTTTCTCTTTTTTTTGGATGTAACTCAATAGTTTTCTTCTTTGTTTTTTGCTCCTGTACTACTGTGTAATTTTCCTACCCCTCATTAAACAGCTGCTAGATTTCATCCCTGGGGAAGCCACATTTCTCTGATGGATAAGATAATTTGCGTGGCATGAAGTTGGAAGATTTGGATTCTCTGTGGCAGGGAGATTCTTGAGGAAACAAGGCATTACTTACAAGAAAGTTAAGGTGCCTGAGGAAGGAGTTTTGGGCCGTTCAGCAGTGTGGAAAACCACCCCTCTTTGGTCAGTGAATTCTGACTGAGAAAGTGCTTCTTGCCTTTCTCATTGTGCCCTGTTCATGAACCTCAAAGCCACATTTGGTTGATTGGCTATTAAAGAGCTAACAAAATCAATTGTACTTAATCTGTCCATCCACTTAATTCTCACATCTGAATGCTTCCTCTCTCTCTCTCTCCTCTTTTTCCTTTCTGCTTCCTCTTTCTATCTATAGAAAAGTTCTTGTGATGTTGGTTGAGATATACCAAAGATGTTTTGGGAAAGGGAAAAGTGAGTTTGGTATGCCCCACAAAGAGAAAATGTTGTATGTATCTTCTCAGCTGCTTCCTTAAGTCACCATGATATCAGAAAAATGACTAGTGGAGGACTAAGCAACCTGCCTTTTTCTCTGCATAGAACATTTTCTCTGCTCTTGCACCCAGCAGAAGCCAATAAAATATTTTCTAGTAACTGCTGCAGGCAAAGGACAGGCACCTTTTCTTGTTTCACCATTGAAATACAGGAAAGAAAATTCAAAGGTTAAAGTAGATTTCGAGTCTCTCTTTCCATTCTAATTATGACGAACAAGTCAAGGTCAACAGACAGCAGTGAATGACTTTCTCTTCTCTGAAAGATGTCTGATCAATTTTCATTACAGAGGCTTCTTGAATGACTTCCTTGTATATAATACAGTCTGTCTTCTTTTCACATCTCCATCAGGAAACATTTGGAACATTTTGGTCATTAGTTTTTCTCCTCACTCCCATCAGGGAGTCAGAGAAATGATTGTCAGCTGATCAGAGGTAGACACAATTCTGTGTCTATTTTGTGCTGATAATCTTCCTTTATGTTTACTAAGGTAGGTTCCTGTATGATGCATCTGGTCTGCAGCACATCATTGTGTGACTCAGAATAACACGTAGCTGGTGGACTTCTCTGTCATTTGAAATTTAAAAAGCCTAGTTCGACTTCAGAACAACCAGTCAGCTCCATTCTCCCAGACAAAACAACTGGTCAAAAGTGAGTTGTTTCTTTGAGCAAATATATCTTACATAAGCCCTTTTCTTCTGCTATATGGGCAAAGGTCAAATCTAACCCACAGCACTTAGATACAAATCTAAGTATTTCTCAATATCCAGACTCGAAATAGTCAGGCTCATTTTGATGCCTTAGCAGGAGGACTCTTGAGCAATATTTACATTCACATTTTGAGCAGGGTTTCCTCAAAGTTCTTGGACAGAAGATCTATTCTGAGACTGAGGTAACCAGCCCAGCAGATCTACTTGACACTTTGGTTGTTTGCATTCTCAAACTGCTGGAGGTAGTGAAGTTGTATGGAGAAGCCCAGGGAAGTGCATTCTTGGCAATCTTCCAGGGCTTTTTCCAGCCAGACAATGTGGAAAACTCGGTAACTTCAGCTTTTCAATGGGATGTTTTGCTGAGAGTATATGTCAAAATCAAGTACAGAAGAAGCTGATTTCATTTTTTTCTAACTTTCAGGGGTCTTTTCTAAATCTCTTCTATTAAAGCACCTTCAGATTTAGAAAATTGAGCTCTTTTGTTTTTGTTCATCTATTCCTTTGGGAAGGAATAGGTTTTGTGATACCTTGTCAGGATAGGTTTCATGCAGCAATGAAACCACGTATTTTACTGGTCTGTAAAAATGTAATTATAAAAAAGTTGTCAACAAATTTTTACTGTGGCAAAGTATAAGCCACAGAGGTTTCTGGTAGTCTGTCACGTGTGTGATGTTACTCATCTCAGTGGTAGAATCACATATTTCTGCTGACTGTTTCAGCACCTGTGCTGAGCTGTTCTTCCTTTCTTTTTCTCCCTGCTGCTCCAAGTTAATGATTATCTTTTCCTGATTGCCAATAAAGTAGCAGTACAAAAGAGAGGGCACCAGCCCTGCCAGAAGTATATGATGAGGTCTGTTACTATGGCCACAGTGAGGTGAGGTACTGTGGTGAGGTGAGGAACTGGGTGAGATGTAGCAGATGGGAACAGGTATGACCAAAGTCCAGTGTTTGCTGCTGCTTGATGCTCTGGGAAAGGAACTACATGGCATGGTGGCAAAATGAACAAAAGGCGGCAGGCACTGAAAGGAACTTGAGGGAGTGGCAACAAAAATTCCAAAACTATGATGTGTCTTATACACCAGTTTTTGTTTTCAAGAGATGCATTAGTTCCCCATATATCACTTCAATCTGTTTATCAGTCCTTCTATCATCTTACTCCATTTTGTTTTACTGAGCTGAGAAAGAGGAGTCTTCAATAAGCAGGATTTCTCTTGTGACAACGCAGCCTTGAAATCAAGCTGAGCTTCTCTTCTCTAAATGGAAAAGATCCCTGAGGTGAAAGCTCCCTTCAAACCAGGTTACTGACATTTACTTAATACCGTCTGTAGCAGGATTATCATTAAAGCTGCCCAAGAGCACATTAATCTCTCTGGATCCGTCCAAGCGCTGGACTGTAATGGCATTTAATCAGAGAAGGCTTTGATTTCTAAAGACAAGTGCAAACACTGAAATATCTGCCTGTGTAACAGTTACTTATTCATGTGCAAGTGTAGCAGAGGATGAGAATGCAGAGAGGATATTGACAGTGGAGGGGGGAGTTATTGGCAGCTGGAGAGGGGAGTTATGAAGAAATAAGCTGGTATGAATTTTGAGAGAAGTCCAGGCCATGGTAGGGTTGAAAAAGGCACCACTTGGAAACTGAATCATTTTTGTCTCAAGACATTATTTACATTCTTGCTTGGGAAGATATATTTGGAGGATGTGAGTAGAGCAGAGAAGGAAAAATGGTCTGTGGAGCTCTCAACACATTTGTAGCATACTGTATAAAGAGGGAAGGAAGCAGAGCATGAACTTAAAAGAACCAACTAGGTGGCACAAATACCTCTTTTGCACCCATTCTGATTTTATCTGATCAATTTAGAGAGACTTTGTCCATGTACAAATTTTGATGTTACCTTTAATCTGCTGCATAGGTGTCCACCCTATCCATTCTTTCAGATACTTTAGTATCTAAAAGCCTGTTTTAGCAGAGGCTGCTGGGTCAGCAGGCTGTGGGAGCTGTGAAGCTTGCACATGTGCACATGCTGTATTGCTTTCAACTAACCAGCCAGTTCAGGTAGTCAAGTGGAGAGTTTGCCACAGAATCACAAAATTGCAGGAGTTGAAAGGGACCTTGAGATCATTGAGTCCAACCCCCCTGCCAAGGCAGGTATCCTGTAGTAGATCATACAGGTAGGTGTTCAGATGGATCTTGAATATCTCCGTCGAAGGAGACTCCACAACCTCTCTGGGCAGCCTGTTCCAGTGCTCTGTCACCCTTAGCATAAAGAAATTCTTCCTCGCGTTTGTATGAGATTTCCTATATTCAGGTTTTAGGCCATTGCTCCTTGTTCTACTGCTACACACCACCGAGAAGAGCCAGGCCTCATCCATTTGCCTCCTGCCTCTCTTTAGATCTCTTCTAAATATTTATCATATCCTGTCTCAGTCGTCTTTTCTCAAGACTGAACACACCAATGTTACTCTGCCTTTCCTCATACGGTAGTTGCATCAGGCCTTTTATCATTTTTGTGGCCCTCCACGGGACTCTTTCCAGGAGATCCCTATCTTTTTTTGAACTGGACACAGTATTTTAAATGTCTAAATGTCACCGGGGCAGAGAAGAAGGGGGGGGATCACATCCCTTGACCTGCTGGCCATGCTCTTTTTAATGCATTCCAGGAAACCATTGGCCTTCTTGGCTACAGGGGCATGCTGCTGACTCATCGCCAGCCTGTTGTCCATCAGGACCCCCAGGTCTTTCTCTGCAGAGCTCCTTTCCAGCAGGTCAGCCCCTAACCTGTTCTGATGCATGCAGTTATTCCTCCCCAGGTGCGAGACTCTGCATGTGCTTTTGTTCAACCTCATCAGGTTCCTCTCTGCCCAACTGTGACAGCCACTCCTCCTGGTTTTGTACCATCAGCAAACTTGCTGAGCGTGGACTTTATCCTTTCATCCTGGTTGTTGTTGATGATGTTGAACAAGATCGGACCCAGCCCCAGCCCCTGGGGAATACCACTAGTTACACGCCTCCAGCCAGACTGTGTTCTGCTGATGAGCTATGCCAATTAACCAGTTGTCAATCTACCTCACCATCCACTCATCTGTCCCACACTTTCTAAGTTTGATAACAAGAATGTTGTGGGAGATAACACCTTGTAGAAATCAAGGTGCACAATGTCCACAACCCCTGCCTACACAGTTGG